CAGTGCCTTCATGCTTCATTACAGATGCCCCCAAAATGTCCCAGAGGAGGAGATCAGTCCCAGTGGTGAGTAGCTCCCAGGACTGATGACAAGCTCCCAGCCTTGAGTAGCCTTATCAAGCCTTTCTGGTAAATGAGAGCTGCACTGATGACACATCAGTGCCCTGGCACAGTGCCTGATTGCAGTGGTGGGTTATGTGCCTTGGCCAGCAGTCTCACGTTGAGGTCCTTTGGGATACTGATATGAGTGCCATCTGGTCTCAATTACTCTTTGGAGTCTCACTTATCTAGTTGGTTTAATACTTCCTGCCCACATCTGTTGAGTAGAGCTGGCTCCTCTGTCCTTTGTACTGTACCAGCCCTGAAAATATCCCAGCATCTTTGGCTGGGAAGAGTGAATTCCCTGAGTTTTTCTGCTATGACCTTGTTCCTAAGAGATCTTTTGCCACCAAACTCCCCTGCCAGTTCCCAAGTGGTTTTTCATCTTTCAGGAGGTTTACAAAACTTACTGTCAACCCAGAACATCCTTTATCAGAAGCTCTTCACTATTTTTTTTTCTTTAATGGTCCTGGTTTCCTCTCCACATTTGATCTGTCATGATACAGACCTTCCTGTTCTCCACATTTTGACAAGCTTTCTGCTTTCCAAATGGAGATCTTTTCCTTATAGTAGTCTTGGTAACTATTTTACTGGCAGACATTGGGCTCAATATTTCTTAAAGTGCCTATTTCTTTTGGAATGTAGGCTTGTTGAATTTTCTGTTTGTTTTCAAAAACAGCCCCCAAATTTATGTAGGCCTCTTCCTTCTGGGACTGCTTCCCTGTCCCACAATGCTGCTGAGCCCAGCTCTACTGTGATTAGCAGTACAGAACTACCTCCACCAAAACCTGTGCAGCACCAAAGATCAGATGGCATCTTGTAGAGGTAGAATGCCAAGGCAGAATTGCATCTTGTGTTGCTGATTTTTTTGCAGGACTAATTATTCTAGGAATGAGGAAGTTGTTGCTTATGGACATAACATCTCATCCTGCTGCAGCATTGTGTTATTATAAAGACACCCCAAACCTCCTCCCATTGTTACCTGTTTTCATCTTCCTACCCTCACTTAATGTGCTCTGGCAACTGTCACAACCTGGTAAGGAGCTCAGTAGTGCATTCCTAACAGTATATTTTTCTTATTGGAGTCTGCCCACAGGAGCCTTGTTGTGCTTCTCTTTAGCCACAATATTTTTACAGTGTTGTGAGTTATGTAGCCCTTCCTGCACAGTGCCACTCCTCCACCCGAGCATCCTACAGTATCATTTCCATAAAGCTGGTAGCATGGCAACACAGGCTCCTATTGATTATCCTTTCTCCTGCTGGTCTCTGAGGTTTCCTTTGCACCAGAGTTTTGGTCTCATGCTAAGCCCGATGGGTGCTGTCTCTTTTTCAGGTTTGAGATCAGTGCAGAATTACATGTAAGATTTTGATTAGACATTCAAGATAGCATGTGCCAGTCTATTGGATTTGTGGGCAGTTGGATCCCGAGCTTAAAATATGAGAGGTTTGGGGCATTTTTATTAGTTTAGTATCTCCTTCAATTAAACAAATCTCCTCTTACTTTTGCTTTATCAGCCCCCTACCTGTCTTGCACACCCATCCATTTGTTAAGGATGTAAAATTCACCTTAGGCAAGGAATGTCTTTTAGCTATCATCTTACCTAAAATTGCACTCAAGCCAGGCTAAGATAAAAGGCAAAATATATATTCATAATAAATATGTATTATTTATAATATAGATGTAATTTGTAATGAAGGACAAATATTTCTTAATAAAATCCATGCTAATCAAGCTGTAAATATTTTTTAAAGATTTCACAGAAGAAAAGATAAAAAACCCACCCAAACTATACATCTAATCTACTCATGCAGCAATTATTTCAGAAAAGGCATCCTTTTTCTTTCTCAGCTGATTTTCTCTTTCTCATGCCAGGGAGATTGTCAGAGCCTCAGGACATGTGTCAGCTGCTTCCATTGATAGCTTCCATCAGTGAAACTCGTATATAGAAAAAATCTCCTGTTAGAGAATTTTTATCAGATGAGCCTTGCAGTAGCACTGAAGAGAGAATCCCATTTCAGTTTGTCCTTTTCTCTCCTTTTTTTTTTTTTTTTTGGAGGGCTGTTAGATCTTACTGCAAATCTCCCTTCTTTTGGGAGACACAGAAAATTCCTATAGGTCCAGTCTCTCAGCCGTAACCCATCCTGTTCATTCCTGATCCAGGAGACTGTCTGGATGCTTCTGCCGAAAATGAAGTTTATGGCCTATCCTTAGATAGATCATTATTTCCGTATATTTAGAAGCCATCTCCTAACCTTAGCTGGCTCATAACAGTTAGCCATCTTCAGATTCAAGGAAGGCTAAAATTCTCCTCTTATCCTCTGTGGTTGGTTGAGGTAGTCCCACATTAAATATATCTTTCACTTCACCTTCCTTTCCACATTGATCTGTGTGTCAAGACACAGCTAACAGGAGCATCTACACATGAACATTGTATGGGTCATTGTTGGCCCTGTGTTGAGTGCAGGCACCATGGGGCTTTAAGAGCTTTCAGATGACTGGTCTCCAGTTTCTTTCTCTTGGACATCCCATAACAGCTTGAAACTTGTGTTGGAATAACTTGGAGAGGAGTCTAAGAACTGATTTTCTCGCTAGGCTCAAGGATACTGAATTTTCTCAATTGCACATGCACTATTCTACTCTGAGTCTTGGTCCAGCTGGAAAGAGAATTGAGGAGCATTTGTGCAGTTAGAGGCCAAAACAGGTTAAATGGTAACTGTTGGCTAGATACCTTCATGTGAGGAGCCTGAGCAATGTGCCTCAGTCCCTGTGCTTGTAGTGCTTTCCCCAGGGTGCAGGGACCCAAGGGCTTTTCATCAACTGAATCTTCATTGCCCCAGTCCCATCTTTCATCAGCTAGCACTGGACACAAGCCTTCACTCATAGTGCTGAGCAGGGCTTGGAATTTGTCCACAGTCCAAGTTCTTCAACCTCATTTGACTCCTCTACCTCACAGCTGGCACACAAAACAAGAGTGCTTCAACAGGCAGCAGATCCCTTCACTAATATTTTCTTGTGTTTTGGGGTTTCTAAAGGCAAAGATGCTTGGACCACAGGAAAACAGAGTCAGGAGGGCTCTTCTCTTTTCCATACCTCAGGCTGTAATGTTTCCCTGAAAAATGGGGGGATCATATTCCTTCTGGAGAAAAGCTGGTTTTTGATCCCATACATGTGTATCAGACAGTAGTTCCATAATGAAAACCAAAACAATTAAAAGTCCTTTGATTGCTGAAGATTTGTCTTTAAGAAGAATATATTTTCCATCTCCTTCACGAGGAAAGCGAATCTCAAACGAGGAGGAGATTAACTTTAGGAGCATGTGTTTAGTCAGTCCAGGGCTTTCCTGAGACCCAATATCCATTATGTGCTTGCTCCTTGGGAGCCAGCCTGGGGTTGTGTTTCCCATGCTTGCCATCCCAGTGGGGCCGGATAAAAAGATGCCTCCTGGGGCACATGTGGTTTCTCTATTTAAGGGACTTAAACAGACTCTGAGACACAGCCCTGGAGATACCATGGCATGCTCTGAGCATAGCTCAGGCTCCCACACCACGTCTCCAGTTTGCAATTTAGCTCCCATTTACAGCACACTGGGTAGCTGGGTGTTTGAAGTACCCAAATGTAAAGCCAAATTTACCGCCAAGGAGGCTCCACCTGTACAAATAAATGAGTTTCAAACTGGGAAGCCAGTGAGGTTCAGAATGAGATAGGATGCTGTCATGTACCATGGGCACATTGTCACTCACGCTGGAGCAAATGAAAAGCTTCTTTTCCATGCATTTGGAAATGCCATGTAGTTGTGGTTTTCAGGCTAAAAATTCCCATGCCCCATCTTTAGAATATATTGGCAGATACAAAGAGGGAATTGCTCCCACTGTCAAACAAGAAACAATACTGACACCTTCCTTTGAAAATACTACTAGCTGCAGGACAGCTGAGATAAGAAATCAAGAGTTCAGAAAATAAATAGACACTAATGAGAAAAAAATTTATTATTTAGAGTGTTTCAGTGGTGAATGGTTTTGATTTGATCGAATTATAGCCTCACAGGAGGAGAAATGCCTCTCTCTGAGCACAGCCCATTTTCTCAGAGGCCATTTTCATTAGTGCTGCAAATGGGGGCTGCCCTGGAAGCTGCAGTGTGTGTGGATGACTGACTGGTGCAGAACAGCTGAGCACAGAAGAGGTTAAGAGAGTGGTACGTGGAGCAAAGGCCCCACAAAAAGAGACATAGAAAGCAACCAGGAGCTAACAAGAAAGTAGAAATACAATGCAAGGAGGAGGGAGTTAAAAAATGAACCATGCATAATTAACACAGTGTTTGCACAGTTTTTAAGGTCAAAATGTCCTTAATTTTTACATGTATCAAAATAAGTCTAGTATTGCTCAGGAAATACTGCCAAAAACATACCAGAAAAATTTCCCTGGTTGCAAAAGGCAGATTCAGTTATTTTGGCTTTCCATTCTAATTTGAAATGCAGGCCTAGCAGTGGGCAGTGATTTCTTTTCTGATCAGGTTTTGATGTTTCCATGGTAGGTGACTGGGGACTCAAAACTTCCCTGCCACAAAATGGCTGACAGCAAGTTGGCTTGTTTTGCAAAGCTAAGATCAGAGACTTGTCATTAAAACACACACAGAGCACCTCTAAAAGGCAGCACTTTTACAGGCTGAGAACACAACCAGCTGCTGTAGCACTGAAACTCATTAGAGCTTACTTGGGGCTTTGTGTCTTGAGATGTGTATTTACTGGAACGTCACAAGTAATTACTCGTTAACAAACCCTTACTTCCCACTGTCATCTGCACCTTGCAATTTCTGCCCTCAGTGAAGCAGTCCCAAATAGCCAAACTCCCTGCCCAGCCTGTAACCCAGCACTCACACCACTTCTTTTCCCTTTGGCAGAAAAATGGAGACGCTGGCTGTGACTATGAATATTTCCAATACTTCCAAGGTGGCACTAGATGGCAGCTTCACTAACTGCTCCTCCAACTATACGGTCGACAGCTTCAAACAAGTCATTTATCCCATCACGTATCTCTTCATCTTCTTCCCGGGTGCTATTGGAAACAGCCTCTCCATTTATGTTTTCTTCCAGACATCGCAAAGGACCTCGGTAAACATTTACATGCAGAACTTGGCTATTTCAGACCTCATGTTTGTCAGCACTTTGCCCTTTCGGGCCTCATATTTCCTCTTGGGATCCCGTTGGATATTTGGTGACATCCTCTGCCGGATCATGACTTACACCTTGTACATGAATATGTACTGCAGCATTTATTTCCTGGCCGTGCTCAGCGTGGTTCGTTTCGTAGCCATCGTCCACCCGTTCAAACACGGAAAAGTGACCAATGCCAAGTATGCCAGGATTACCTGTGTGGCCATATGGATCTTTGTTCTGGCAGCTGCCAGCCCTCTGTTGAACAAGGGAATCGCCGGCTACCGCAACCCAGTCAAATGCTTGGACCTGCACCCCTCCAGCACACACAGGCTCCTCATGATGAACAGCTTTGTCCTCGTCGTGGGCTTCATCCTGCCCTTCTGCACAATTGTGTTCTGCTACGTCTTTGCCATCAGAGCGCTGCTCAAGTCCAGGGCTCTGCAGAGCGGGAGGGCAATCTGTCACAGGAAGGCACTGCTAACCATTGTCATCACCCTCATCCTCTCCCTCATCTGCTTCCTGCCCTACCACATCCTGAGAACTGTTCACCTGATGTACAGCAGCTGCAGCCAGGCCAGCCTGCACAAGGCGCTGGTGGTCACTCTCTGCCTCGCTGCCACGAACAGCTGCCTCGATCCCTTCCTCTATTACTTTGCTGCTGAAAATTTCAAAGCAAAAATCAGAAGTTTGTGCTGCAGGTAGCTGGTGCAGAATTGCAAAACAATGTATATATACACAGTCCTGATGGGATCTCTAGACTGGACTCATACTGTTCAATGACAGAGGCTGTCATGCTGCTGGCCAGTCTGCAGCTCTGCTGCTCACTGTCAGGCATTTCTGGAGCAGAAGTCTCTGGGACAGAGCTCTATGTGAGTGACCAAAACTGAGTCTGGATGATCTGAGCACAGGTGGCTGGGTATGATCCCTGGTTGTCTTCTGTTTAGCAGTATAGAGACACCTCTGTTGTTCACCCTCCCCAGGACAAGGCATTTAAAGGAATCCACCTTGCTACCGGAGTCCCATTATTCCATTTCACAATACTGAGTGACTTGAAAGGGAAACTGCTCACCTGACCACTTCAGTGTCTGTGCCTGAACCTCTCAGTGCTCCATTTCCCTGCATGTACTGGGGTTCAGACACTGCAATTCCTATTCACAGTACCCTGCCAGTTCCCATTGCAAACACTGTCAAAGGGGTTGTACATTAAAGAAATATAAAACATCACTTATGCTTTCTACTGAGGCTGACTTAAAAAGCAGGAAGAGAGGGAAACAGGACCCAGCACTGGCTCAGGCTGCTCAGAAGTCACTAACATGTCTAAATTTTCCACTATGAGCCAGCCACCAAGGTATTCTGCTTAACATTTCATGGGTTGTCAAGTGAGAGAATGACTTCAAGCAAGTGGCATCGTCCTGCAGTGTTATGAGTAAGATGACTGCTGGCAGTGAGGGCAGGATGAGGGTGCCCAGAGCACTGGGCTGCATCCTTCAGCTCTTCATGTGGAGTCAATTCCTTCAAGGTCATTGCAACACTTTGTTTTTATGCCCACTGTTGCCAGTGCTTTTCACAAAGCTGAGGCTAAGCAGTTTCATTCCCGTGCAAGTATCCAAAGACAAACTTTAAAAATTATTTTGGTCCAAAAAGGTTGCTAGGGAGTGGTTTCCACTGCACAGGTAAGTCAGTCTGACACCAAACAGCTGCCAAAGGCATTCCCAATTGCTCATCTTCAGTCTCCTCTGAGGACGAAACTGGTCCCTTTTTTCATAGGATTAACTTCCTGTTGGTTTGAATTTCCTACATCAAACATGGAAGAATCCAACAGGGAAGCACTAACCCAGGTACAGGAAGGAAAATGGACAACAGAGAAGGTGGAGGAGAGCTTTTTTAGAAAGCAATGGGAATCTACTCCTGTGTGTACTTTGGAAAATTTCATCAAATGGCTGTCTGTATTTGTAAGTCTCTGAATATTTTCTAAAATATGTTTTCTAAAAATTAGACCTAAGTGAAAACAGGCTCCAAACTCAGACCATATTTAGATTTTGGGTTTAATTACCTCATCTTTTACTAAAAATAGACAAGAAGTTTAGTCATATTTTCCAAGAAAGCAGCTGGACTTATATGAAAACTAACAAAAATGCTGAAAGCCTTCCCTCGCCGTGAAATTCAACCAAAGGAAGGTTTCTCTCTGTGAAGATACTTCTCAATGCTCTGAACTTTTTATGGAGAAAGAACTCCATAAACTGAATGTTATTGCTCCCAAACAAAAATAACAGCAGCAAGCTATTTTTAGCTCTGTCTGAAATATTCAGAAAACAAATCATTGCTGGTCAGGTGGAAAAGTACTTGGCAAATCACTGGAAAAAGCACATTTTTTCTTGGCTATCTAAGGGTTATGTTCAGTCCTGTTTCAGTCACTTGATGCTGCCTTTGATGTAAGCACAGTTTTATCAGAAGTCTTCACTAAAGTTCATGTTCCAAACCCTTATTTCAATAATGCAGCAGCATACCTGAGAGCTGACCTGATGATGCCACGTGAGCTGCTTGATCCCATGCTGTTGATGAAAAAGGGAATATTAGCAGTGGTTTGCAATGGGGATTTGATTGAAATGGTAACCATGCAGATATAGCAAGCTAATAACTGGAAGGAAAGGGAAAACTCTTTTTCTTTGGTTTTCACCCATCAGGAGGAAACCTCAACAGCAACAAGTAACAAGCCTGAAGCCTCTCATGAGACACCACCCGCTTCAAATACTGCAAGAGAATGCAAAAAAATAGCCACAGTCTAATCTCACCCACATGCTTCTGTCTGTGTCTGTCCAGTGCACCTGATTATCAGATAATTTTGCATTTATAGGCTATATGTATCTCCCTTATAAGGTCACTTTTTTTGTATTGATCACACTACCACTTTGTTGGCAATTGAATTAACTGTCAGAACTGTGTTTTAATAAACTAGATTTACCTGTGGCTGAAGAAATGTTTTTTATTGATCGCAGCGCTAACAAGGGATCTCCTCTGAGTCCAGGGGAGAAGGAACAAGAAACAGATACTGAGTTTTTGTAAGTGGGCCATCATTTCACAAGACTGAAATGTCCTTGGATGTGTGAGAACATCCTTCTGCCTTATTCACATTGCCAACAAAAAAGTGGGGAACATGAGTCAAAATCTGAGGTGCAAATAAAGTAATAGAATTTTTAAATTATTATTTAGTTATGCAAGGATTCTAGACCATCCTTGTTAGGGATTTTCTCATGAAGTTTCAACAGCACTTGTATAACATGCCACATTCCCATTTACTGCCTTCTCTCCATTTATTGCTCTGGCATGTCTCTACTCGTGGAGCTGAAGATTCAGATTCTTCACTGTGGAAGTATCATAGTAAAAAATGTAGTTTAAAAAGCACCAACATATCTATTCTAAAAGATAAAGCTCCTGACAGTTAATTTGCTTGCAATGCCTCTAGGTCCCTCAAGGGACCACATTCCCCTTAAAAAGTACTTGGATATGTTTCCTCAAATTTCTAAGAAGCAAAATCTAAGAATAGCTATAGTAAACAGTAAACTTGTGAGCTTGAAGGATACATAAGAATAGGAAATGAAGTCTTTAAGTGACTGGGACCCTTAAGCAGCAGCAAATGATCTACCTTCATATGCACATTTTCCTGTCATTCAGGGAACCCCTGGTACTTCTAGACAAAGTTAATTTTTCAGTTCAAAGCTACCCTAGAGTCATAGAGAGGCAGCAGAAGGAAATGCCACTCTTCACACCAGCTTTTAAGCCCTACTTCGAGACCACGTGTGGCTGTGATTGCCCGATGGGGTCACAGTGAGCAGGGGAGCATCTCATGACTGTGATCCTCCCCTTTGACTCTGCTCTCCTCAGACCCCACCAAGAGAGCTCTGTCCAGCTCTGGGGCCTTCAACATGAGAAACACTTGGACCTGTTCAAGTGGCCCAGAGAAGGGCCACAAAGGTGATCAGAGGGCTGGAGCAGCTCTCCCATGAAGACAGGCTGAGAGAGTTGGGGGTATTTCAGTCTGGAGAAAAAAAGGCTCCAGGGAGATCTTATAGCACCTTCCAGTACCTTAAGGAGGCTACAGAAGAGCTGGAAAGGGACTTTTGCCAATGTAGTGATAGCACAAGGGGAAAAGGCTTGAAACTGAAAGAGGGCAGGTTTAGATTAGAAACTGAGAAGAAATTCTGTACTTGTGAGGGTGATGAGGCACTGGAACAGGTTGCCTAAAGAAGCTCTGTATGCTCCATCCTTACAAGTGTTCACGGCCAGGCTGGATGGGGCTTTGAGCACACTGGTCTAATGAAATGTATTCCTGACTACAACAGGGAGATTGAAACTAGATGATCTCTAAGATCCCAAACCATTCTATCATTCTATGATTTTATTATTATTATTTTAATCAATGCATTATCCCACTAATTTTCATGATACATCCTCTGCCTTCCTCAACATACATCCTGTCACCATAGCTTATATTTTGCTTTGGCTCCTAAGTGTGTTGGGAGAAAGGGGTACAGATTCCTCTGATCAGCACCTCCTTTCTGAGGTGCCTATTCCTTTATGCAACAACAGCACGCTGTGCTGGCAGCAGAGCAGGCAGCAGACTTTTCCTCCATCTTAGAGATGTTGACACTTCTCTTGGTCACTTGGGATGGTCAAGACAGAAACCACCTGCTGCTGATAGGAGTGGAAATAAGATCTATCCAAAACAACCAGGTGTAATCACAGTCAAGAGGAGGCAGATGCTGTTTCAACAGTGATACCATCCCCGGGCTAGTGTTTTGAATTCTTGCATTATATCTAAGGCAGTTTAAATGATGGTCTATTTAAAAGACAGTGTAAATGATGTGCAAACACAGATTTCCTGAGAGAGATGTTTGATGTGCTTCAGCTTTCTGGCCAGCACTGAGCATGACCTGCCCGGCACTGTGACTGTCCCAACACGCTGTGCAGTTCTGTCCTTCTCACATGTTGGGCTGTGTATATACAGGAACCTTCCTGGACATCTGCAAAGACAAGCAGTATATTTAATTGCATTCAGCTGATGTTATGTAGCTACATCTGTTCATCCACCAGTCAACAACTTAAGGAGGCCAAAGAAGTTAAGTAACTTAGTTTGTTCCAATTTCCTTTTCTGCCTTTCAGAAAAACTGGCCAGAATTCCGCCACTGCTTCTCCTTTTGATTTTGTAACTGAAAGGATGAAGCTACCTAACACAGGGACCTGGTCACACAAGTCACATTCCTGTTCACAGGAGCAAAGTGTGAGCCTTCTGAAGCGGAGAAATAAAGCTCTGGACCTTAGTCCACCTCTCATATTGCATCAGTCAAAGTTTGAATGCTCAGAGTGGTGGCTGGCAGGTTTGCTTGTCATGTTTGCTTGTCATGTTTGCTGTCTGCATTTCCAGAGCTGAGATGCTGAGCATGTTAACTGCTGGATGATAGTATGTCTTCTGAGCTGCCGTGGGAGATGAAACTGGGGATGATACACTCAGCATGGAGCTGTGTTTCGTTACAAAAATTTTGGCAAATGAACCCCTGAAGAAGGGAACTTTGTTCTCTGCAGACTTTTCTTACATTTTAACCAGCTTTCAGTTCTGGAGGCAAGGAGCCTGTCTCTGGCAGGCCAGCTCTAGGACCCTTCTGATATCTAGCCTTAAAAGCCCTCCATAACAGATAAATACCTCC